ATACTTAATGCATGAATTATTTGTCCTAATTATTTATGTCTATGCCTAGAAAGCTAACACCTTGCAAAGTAGTTAAAAGAAAGAATGATCTTAAAAAAAAGAGAGAAAAAAATTTGCTGAGTACCCACTCCATTGATGCCAACTGGGCCTAGTAATCGGGGACCTTCATCACCAATGTTGGCCTTCGCATCAAACAGCTTAGTAAGTATCAAGAGGGTGCCAATAAAGTTCTTAAAGTCTGAGTAATTAGGCCCTTGTATCACTAATATGAGGGTTCGCGTCAAAAAGACCTAAGGAGTATTTAAGAAGAAAGGCAATTCATGAATAGTTAAGGATGATGACCCCATTGCATTAACTCAGAAAAAGAAACAAGTAAGGTCTAAGGATATAGACAAATTTATTTTACAGATAAGTACTCAATCAGAATTTAATTCACTTCTTGTGGTGGTACTAGTATAATTATTATCTTTCTCTCTCACATTGAAGCTCTGTAGGTTGGTTATACAGTTAAATTTTACTAGTATTTTGAATAAAGTTCCTATATTTGATATACTTATTTTAGGAATAAGGCTAAACACAAAAGTATTTGCTTGAGGACAAGCAACAAGCTAAGTGCGGGGAAATTTGATGAGTGCATATTTTATAATTAAATAGGTTTTTTAGTTTTGAATTTGATTATATTTATTAAGATTTCATATCTATTTAATTAATATTTATATATTTTTTCCTTATCACTTAATTATAAGATAAAAGGAAATTTTAATACAAAATCCACTCATATCTTTTTATTTTTATATTTTACAGAGAAATAGAATAAACCAAAAAGAAGGAAAAGAGAAATATATATATATATATATTAAAGTCTTACATTGACAAGGAATAAAAGAAGGAGCCTCCACTTTAATTATAAATACTCCTTCCATCAAGAGAGAAGACATCCAATCACTTATCTAAGTACCTCATAAATTCTCTCTGATATATTTAGAGCTCGTAAAAGAATTTTAAAGGCTGAAAGCGAGATCATTAAGGAGTTTTATAAATTATAATTATTTCTCTTCCACTCTTTAATTTTCTCTGTAATCATTTTTTATGATTGGAGATTTTAGAACAGTGTTATTTGATTTTATTATGTGCTTCTAAATTATCCAGTTAGGATAAGAATGTAGCTCAATTGGAGAGTTAGTTTTCTATTTCCTTTGTTTCGACTCTTTGCATTTATATTTATGACTATTTTTGCTTTTTCCTAATTATATTTATTTTTCTTATTCTTCATATTAATTTAATGACTGACCACCATCTAATCAAGTCTATGGGTAATCTTGATGGACTGGGAGGTGAAGAGAGAACCTAGATCTAGAGAAATAAACATAAATAACTAAGTTATGGATAGTTCTAAAAATTTATGGTAACTTAAACTATAGCTTCATGGTTTAATTAGTTGTTTGGATATCGTGAGAATGAATTCAACACTAATTAAAAAGGGATTAATAATTCGGGAGAATATTAGGACACTTTAGGAATAGTTGTCAGTATAATTGATCCGAGTCAACTTAAAAGGTAGAAACTAGCAACCTATAGGGTGAATCCTAAACCCCAATGTGATTTTGTTTTAATCATCATTATTTTCTTGATTTATTTTTTATTCCTTATATTTTCATCAAAATTATTCATTTTATCTATTTTTCTTAAACTATTAATTATTTAAATTAGTAAAAGTGTAATTTTCCTGTATGTTCGACACTTGGAATACTCTTAGTAATTTATTACTGTGATCTCGTACACTTGCAAGAGCGATCAGTTACATGTTAAAATTAATTATGAATTCAAAACCATGTTTAAAAAAAAACTCCAAACACCTATTATAGATGTCAAAATCAATTATGAACTTAAAATTGTAATTATCTTAAAAATATCCAAACACCCTCATGCATGTCAAAATCAATTATGAACTCAAAACCATGGTTATTTCATAAGCTACTACTATCTATCTTAAAAATTTATCCAAAAATCAAATAAATTATTTTTACAAATTATATTTTTTTTGGTTCATAATTAATTTTGATATAATAAAAGGTGTTTGGATATTTTTAAGAAAACCATGGGTTTAGATTCGTAATTAATTTTAGCATGTATAATGGATGTTTGGATATTTTGAAGAAAATATGATTTTGGATTCATAGTTAATTTTGACATACAACATTTGTGTTTAGATAAATTTTGACGAAACTTGATTTCCGTACAATTAATTGATTTTCAATGCAAATCTAAACAACCACTTAGTTGTTGGATGGATTAGATTATGCAACAAGACTTGGATTTAAATTAGATTATTTGCATGTAAAGCTTTAGGATAGTGTTTTTTTTTTTTTTACCGAATGGGAAAAAAATAAGAGAGAAAACTAGATGAATAAAAAAAACTTTTTTGATCCAACAAGACTTAGATTTAAATTACATCATATATATGTCCAGTGATTCTTTATTCCTCAAATGATGAGTTAAAGATATTTTCCTTTCAGGTCAAAATTGAGAAATAAAAATGACTCTTAACCTAATAAAAAATATTAAAAAATGATGGGATCTACAAATGACAAATGAATATCAAGCATTTTTAATGGCAAAGTGATAAGAGAGGAAATTTTTAACATTGAACAATATAATTAACTCATAATTAAATTGAGGATGCTTAGTGATTCTTCAAATACAGTTGAGGAATAAAAATAATCTTTAACTCTTTTAAAAAAGAAAAATATCTTTTTTTTTTTAAGTATATGAAGTATATTCTATCAATAGTCGGTATTATCTTCTTAATGTATTGAAGACAAAAAAGTAAACCTCTCTTGATTAAATTGTTACATATATAATGGTTGAAATTATATAATGAAAGCTTCTCATCACTTAAATCAGTTTTAGTTGGAAAGGAAATATCTTTTTCTTCTTGTTTTTTTTTTATTTCCCATTTTAAACGCAAAGTTAAGGTTAAGAAAGATGGGTGGGAGTATTCAAGTCTACACAAAAAAAAAAAAGAAAAAAGAAAAAGCCTGTGACTTTGATTGTGGGGTGATATCAAATAGTGGGTAGCCACGTGGAAGCAGTAGTGAAATGTGAAAGGCAAGGACCGGTGTTGCATAAATGAGAAGTGAATGGTGAAGATGGTAAAGTCAAAGTGCATTTCCGTGGCCTAATCAGCCGTACTTGAGGGGCTTACATTTATGCCCTGCCTAACTAATTTTTGAAAATTATTGCGCCGTCAATCAATCAATGGCGCTACTTGAACTGGTCAAATTCCCATCATAGTCCCCCAAGAAAAATATCTAATCAAGCTTTATTTTGATTGGATGCTATGGCTGATATTTATTTTATTTTTATTTTTACAAAATTATTCATTTTCTTTGTCTGTTTCTTTCCTCATATCATAAAAGGGTAGAAGGAGAACCACCCATTAGTGCGCTCGAATCAGACTTGAGCGTTGTTAGATTTATCAATTTTACCGCTTTGCATCTCCTAGACACTTCGTATGTTGGCCCTTTTATTTATTTTCGCCCATGCTGGATTATCCAACCTAATTAATTAAATACTTGAAAGTTAAAAGAAGAAGAAGAAGAGCCCTTCTAATTCCCGTAAATACTAAGTATTTTTTCTAAAGAAAGATTTAGCTACTCGAAATTAGCTCAAGTAACAAGAGAGACATATAAGGGTTGAAAACAGTGCAATCTTAACAAAATTAACTTTAACTATTTGTTAACTATAAAATGATAAGATATATATTAAGATAATTTACTCATTTATCCGTTTTATATATATTAAAATAAGATAGATTTGGAGACAACTCATGGGTGATAATCTTCTCCCATTAAACAGTGGTTCAGGGTTTCAAATAGTGTAAATGTAATATTTTTATAAAAAATTTAATTTTATCCCTTAATTTTATTCAAAAAGTTTAATGAACACTGTAAAATTAAATATTTTATAATAAAATATTAAAAAATATAATATGTGATTCGCTAGCGGTGAGTAATGGCAAATTAACGTTAGGATGATAATGAATAAAATTTTTAATGTTGATGAATAAAATTATCTCGTAACTTAGTTTAGGGTGTCAAGTGACTTTTTAGATAAATTTGAGAGTAAAAAATGACCTTTAATCTTATATATGTGTGTGTTTGGGATATGATGATTTAAAAACTTGATAAAAGAGATAATAAAGATATTTAATTTTATTGAATTTTTTTTAACACAATGGTTTTTTGGTCCAAATTTTAACACAATGGTTCAAAATAGGATATCATATGTAAATGTCAGTTTCGTTTTCCCTGAACAATTAGAAAAATTGTTCATCATGCTAATCAAGCGTGGATTATCACATCTTAATCACTAATTGATTCCTTAAACTACGGTCACGTCGCTGTGCAATGAAATGCATGCAACTGCACGCTTTATCTCTTGGCCCAGAATTTTCTTATTAAGTTCAAAGGATGCCTAAGTTTGTTTTATTTTTCCTTTTTTAAATAATGTAAGGATTGGAATTTAAACATCCCCAACAAGAAATTCTAATTTTTTAGGTCGGTCTGGTAAAAGAGGAGTCGTAAAACACACGATGAGATTGACTGAAAAGTTGCCTAAATTCAGTTCAATCCAACACACACACACACACTAATATTAATAATTAATTCATGATTTACGAAACATAAGTTAAACTCTTAATTCTTTTATAAAAAAAATTACCTCTTTTTTATTTTACTCTTAGTAAATATTTTATATAAATATTTTAATAATTAAAATTTTAATATATATTTTTTTAAAAAATAATAAATAAAATAGATATATATTTAAAAAATAAATATATAAATTGCTTAATACTTTATATTTTGAATGAAGTAAACTTTTAAAAATATTTTATAACCTGGAAGTATGTGTCATCCCCAACCTCAAATGCATTATTAAATTCGCTAACATTCGCTCCTTTATTTATTTATTATTATTATTGGTTTTTTCGGGTGAAGAAACACGTCTTGAGGAGTTGTGTTTCATTTTCGAATTTGAAAGAGGAAGAAGAGAACTCGAAAACCAGAAAATCTGTGTGAGTTGTTTGTTCCCTGTTCGTCAGTGCTGTAAACCCAAACTCAATATTTATTTCTTTATTTGCTTTCGCCAGTAAATTCTCTGTTCCTTTGTCTCCTTCTTCGTCGTTTGCTTCCCTCGGAGAAGTCGACCCTCAACTCGTCTGAGCTCCAATTCCAGTTCTCAGCGAGTGTTATTTCTCCTTGGACTCTTAAGCATTTCATAAAGGCTCCCTCGATTTGCCAGATCTTGCTTCGGTTGTCAGCACTGTTACAGGTATCTTTAATTTATCTAATTAATTGCTTCTTCGTCTTTGTTCTGGAGAGCCTTGCATTTGAAGTGGAGATGCTGCAAGGTCCAAGCAATCTCTAGTTGCTTACTTCTTTGGGGTGTCCCGTATTTTAGGTTGTGTTTCATGGGCAATTCGAGATCACGTGTCCCAATTGTGTGTTTTGACAGTATGTACCTTTAGTTACAAGCTTCGGTTGGACTTTCTGGTTAGTCGATTTTGGTAGGTACATTCTAACGTGGAAATTTCTCCAAGCTACGAAGTTTTAATATTTCAATAATTAATTTGGGCTTGTCTTTAGGGATGGTCTTTCCTATGGGGTTCCATATAAAATTAATGTTTTATTAATTTTTATTATATTCAGAGGCTATCTCCAGTATTTGGCAAAAATTGATGCATGAATGTGAAGCTGCGGAGGTACTTGAATTTGGAAATATCATCTTGTTGCCATTTCGCTAATCATATTTAATTAAAGAAATCACATGATTTGCTCGCCCTACGTATTACGTGCGGAGGTTATGGGGGTAAAGCACATGCTTTTCTTGCTTATGGTTCACTTAATTATATTCAAGAATGGCTGCTTAAAATTTTAGTTCCTTTGCCATTGCTTCTAGCAACTTTTAAGCTATGCTTTTTAGAGGTGCTTATTTTTCATATTTGTCGTATTAACACTGGTATATTTAAGGGTTTAGGGATTTCCATAAAGCATAATCTTTGTCCCTCATGAAAATGCGTACATGGTGTGTTTTCTTCTATTGTTCCTTTGAACTACTATCTGGTTCCATTCTTTAAGATATTCGGTTCTGTCTTCTGTGTGTATTTAGCAGGGGCTGTATTCTAATAACCAGCACTTCTGTTTCGTACATGGTGGATAGGTGCCTCTTGCTATACGGTGAAGAGAAGCTTTTGTGTGTAATTTTATGAACATACAATCACAGAAGTTTGTATATGATGGGGATCATTTCTCGCAGGTTGGGTCATTTTTTGGAAATTTTGTTCATGGTAATTGTTGTCAGCGATGATTTTCAAGTGACATTTGCTTGATTTTGGCAGCAGTCCGACTCACAGAAAACCAAGTGAAAGCATGAGGCTTATTGTCACTACTTTTATTGGAGTCATTTTTGGCTTCTTCATAGGAGTGTCATTCCCAAAACTGTCAATAACAAAGGTTCGGCATACTTTCAGTTTCTTCATCTATTCAGGGTGTACCTTATACATGAGTAGAATATCCGAATATTTAATGTTGATGTGATGCCATTGTAGTTATTTTTTGCAAACTTCGATTATAATCTTACTGTTGAATCTCCCATGTTTCTTGTCTCTTCATCCTACTAAGGGTGGACTTTATATTTGAGGTTGGAGATTGGAATTGGAAATGGGGTGCACTTTGTATTTGAGCGAATATCTGAATATATATATATATATATATTATGATGTGAGGTTATTACACTCGGTGGAACACTAACCGTGATTATAATTTTACAGTTGAGTCTTCCATCCAACCTGCTTCCATCCATTGATCTCTCTTACATTGAAGGCAAATATACAGGTAGCTATACTTGGTCGTTTGTGAAGAGTTCCAACAGAAGCTCATCACAAGATCAATCATTGATTGATTCATCAAAGGTGCACTTCTTTTCCTCTCACTGTTGGTAAGGACGTTCATACCATCTTTGATTGAGGGGAGGAAAAGAGATATTTAGATTATAGTTGTAAATTGTTGTAAATAGATCTTCAAATTCATCCAAGAACCAAGATTATGCACTTATAGTATGAAGGATGCTACAGAAAACTGCAGGTTTTACTTCTGTCAGGCCTCACCAAACAAAGGATTTGCTTAAAATGGAAGAGGAATGGCCAAAATCTTGTGTTTGGTGAGGTTGAAATCAAATATTGATGCTATAGGATTCAAATCACTAACCCAATGGAATTGGATCGCTTACCATGAAATGAAGCAGCTAATAACCATTTACTCCTCCCTTGGGAACTTAATGATCATTTTGCCATCCACTTATGTGTCCTCACTCTCCGCCCTCTCGCTCTCCCTCTGTTTCCTCCCTCCCCCCCCCCTCTCTCTCTCACACTTCATGAGCTTCAATCTTTGATAATTTTATGGGGTATTTTGGTCTTTTCACGCATAGCATTCCTTTCTATTATTTTAATACACATACCTAGCAAATTTCACTTTAGGATTTCATTTATTTTTCTTTACATACCATACATGGTTTTTGGCCCAAAAATTGCATTCCATCATGGTCTATTCCTTTTTCCCCTCATTCCAACTCCAATTCCTTTAAAAATGAGATCCAACATGCCAACTGGGACGTATACCATCATGGCCCAAAATTTTCATTCCATCAAGGCCTTGAATATATTGGGATGCATGCCTAATGAACAAAACAGGGTGCATTTATAGATTTCTAACAGAACTCTTTTTCTTGCATTTTTATATGCTATTATTGGAGTGGCCATTCTAATATGAAGTTTGAATATATGTTGCAAGCACATGCTGTGGATGTCTTACAATAGTAGAGACGATGAAAATAGGTTTAAGCAACTTGATAATATCAAAAGGACTCTCTCTTTCCCCATCCAGTACTTTTCACTTTATAAACTATATTTTCCCACAACTTACCATTACAGTTGGCCTCTTACATTATTATTCAAGTATTCTTTTTTATTACACAATAATGTTGGAAAAAATATCTTGTCAAAATTTATACTGATCAGATATTTGATCTATATCTACTTGCTTCTCTGCAGATTTGGGTTCCATCAAATCCAAGAGGTGCAGAGATGTTACCTCCAGGAATAGTTGAAGCTGAGTCAGATTTTTACTTGCGTAGATTGTGGGGTAAACCTAGTGAGGTATTTTTCCTAAAAACACTAATTGTCTCCATGCTGCTACATGACCTCATATTGTCAAAAGGAAAATAACTTTTTTTTTTTTTTACTTCTTTTAATTTGCTTTTGGGTGTGATTGGTAGATAGAGTGTGCGTGCGTGCGTGTCTTTCAAGGCACATAATTAAAGTGATGGATGGAGGTACTACTGAGCCTTACACAACTATCAATAGAACTTATTAAAGCGAGATCTTACATTTGTTTGAAAACACTACTATAGGGGTTTCTATGAAGTAAACTTGCTCTTGACCCTACTGTTTGAGAATGAAATGATTTTGGAAAAAATAATAACATTGAAAAGTAATTTGCTTCATGAGTATTTTTGTTCCAGCTACATTTTATGTTGTTGTTAGGTTAAAATCTAAATATTGAGCATTTATAAAGTTGCTTCTTGCAGGATTTAACCTTTAAGCCGAAGTACCTTGTAACCTTCACTGTTGGCTATAATCAAAAAGACAATATTGATGCTGCTGTTAAAAAGGTATCTTTTTTCCCTTTTTGGCTGCATGTGTGTGTATTTATGCGTCTTGTGACTAGATGTGTTACTTGAACAGTTCTCAGACAACTTCACAATCCTTCTCTTTCATTATGATGGCCGAACAACTGAATGGGATGAGTTTGAGTGGTCCAAGAAGGCTATTCATGTAAGTGCTCGAAAACAAACCAAATGGTAAGAAGCTTTCTATCATCCTTTTTAACTGTAACTGTTATGTTTTATAGCTTACAGTGATAGTGACCATCTGATTTTTTGCCACCCAGGTGGTATGCCAAGCGGTTTCTGCATCCTGACATTGTGGCACCATATGACTATATATTTATGTGGGATGAAGACCTAGGGGTTGAGCATTTTAATGCAGAGGAGTGAGTATTTGATATGAAATATTTTTTAATCATGTTTTAGTTTTGATTTACTGAAGATGTCTTATGCCCCTCTTAATTGCAGATACTTAAAGCTGGTGAGGAAGCATGGCTTGGAGATTTCACAGCCTGGTCTGGAACCTAATAGAGGGTTGACATGGCAGATGACAAAGAGAAGAGATGATCAAGAAGTTCACAAGTAAGAATGATGGGAGTATTGTCTTTGTTTTCTAGTGGCGCATGTTTTGTGTAAGAATGGAAACTAATTTATTCGTTGAATTTTTGTTAGAGTAACAGAGGAGAAACCAGGATGGTGTACCGATCCTCATTTCCCTCCTTGTGCGGCGTAAGTAACTGCTGGGTGCTAAAGTACTACACTGTTTGGATGGACTTTCTGTGGTGACCATATCATGCCATTGCAGGTTTGTTGAGATTATGGCTCCAGTGTTTTCACGAGATGCATGGCGCTGTGTGTGGCATATGATTCAGGTTTGAACTGTCTCTTTAAGTAAATCTCTTTCAAATTGAAAGTTTTGAACTGATTAGATTAACTTTGATTCCAGCACTTATTTTTCCCAATCATTGACAATTGTAAACTTTATTACTGCAGAATGACTTGGTCCATGGATGGGGCCTTGATTTTGCTCTTAGAAGATGTGTTGAAGTAATTCCATTTTGTTATTACTTTAATGTAATCTATTTTATTAGCTGTTAAATTCTTATTTTCTTGGGGTGGCCTTAGTAGAGGCCCACGCCAAAGAGAAGAAAGATAAATTACAGTTGTGATGTTCAATGGTACTCTAGACTGATTCATCCTCTGTCCGATATATAGCCTGCTCATGAGAAGATTGGAGTTGTTGATTCTCAGTGGATTGTTCACCAAGGTGTTCCTTCACTGGGGAATCAGGTAATTTTACGCCATGGATCAGTCTATTAGATTTATTAATCATTAATAATAATTTTCCAAAAAAAAAAGAGAAAAGAAAATAGCAGAACTGAGATGCTAAAATATTTCTGTGCTTTGTAGGGAGAGTCGCAAACGGGAAAAGCACCATGGCAGGGGGTATGTACTGTATGTTACATTTTTTTTTTCCTTTTCATTTTTGTGATTGCTTGCATCAACTTCTAACGATCAATATAAAGCATGTGGTGTTTTGTTCTCTTTTTCTCATCCAAAAGATTGTTACCTTAAATTAACAAGAACTTGAACGTTTAGTAGCGAGGGAAGGTTTTATATTTGATGGAATATTTTTGAGATAATATAACTTTTAGTTTTTAAACTTTCTCTCAGTTATCAATTTAATCTTTAAATTTTGATTCGATACAATTTAGTCCTTATAGTTCATTGAATTAAGCAATTATAATGATCGAGTTATACTAAATTAAGAAATTATAAAGACTGAATTGTTTAGAGTCCAAAATGTTCAGGAACTAAATTTTTTCAGAGTCAAAGTTAAAAAAAAAAAAAAACTGAATCAATAATTGAAGAAAAACTTAACGATCAAAAGTTATATTTTTCTATATATATATATATATATATATTTATTACTAAATATGCCTATCATGTTTTCATGGTTATGGTGACAGGTGAGGGAAAGATGTAGAAAGGAGTGGACTATGTTCCAGAGTCGGATGACAAATGCAGAAAACGCTTATTACAAGGCCATGGGAATTGATCCTTCCAATTCCACAGCTCATTAGGCACAATAATGAAGAGAAAAAAATAAAATAAAATTGACTTGTATACAGCCGCCACCACCACCCCTGTGCTTAGTTATTTTCGTTACAATTTGTTATACCTTGCCCTCTCATCATTGTTCACGCGCATGTAGCTTCGGTTATGTTAGAAGAGTCCCCGTTGGGACACAATCTGGAACCCATTGATGTATCTGGTTTATTTGATTATATCAAAATTATAATCATATTCTTGGAATACACTAAGAAACAGGACAGAGTGAAAATTTTGATGTATCGTTGTGAACGATGACAGAGGAAGCTGTCTATTCACTTGCAAGCTGTTTGTTCACAAAGGAAACAAGATACTAACATGCTAGTCGTCTCTAGGCTACTTTTTTTTTTTTTTTTAAAAAAAAGATAAGGGGTATTCGTTGGAATTTATTTTAAAAAAAATTAATCATTTGACCTTTATAGTTTTAACTTAATTATAATTTAATTTTTAAACTTTAACTTATTATAACTTGATCCTCATAATTTTGATTTGATTGTAATTCAATCTCTCAATTTTAACTTTTACAATTTAATTTTATAATTTTAATTATTTAAGTATTGGTTTTATATTTTAAAAAATAAAATTATAAAGATTAAAACTATTTTAAAATTTTAATCTTTATAATGTTTATAAAGATTAAGAGGGTTTGGTAATTGAAAATAAGAAAAATATAACTTTTAATTTTTGCATTTTACTTATATTTTACTTTTGATCCCTGTGCTTTTTTTTTTAATATTCTTAGTTTTTATACTTTTATTTTTCATTATTTTAAGTCCTTCTAAAATTCTTACATTTTGTTTATGGAGGGATATAAAACAATGAAAAATAAGAAGGTAAGGACCTAAAAAAAAAAAAAAAGATGTCGAGATCAATAACAAAGCACGAACAAAGTACATGGGTCAAAAATTATGTTTTCCCTTTAAAATATTATTATTGAATTTTAATATAATTTTAATATTTATAATTCTATTTTTTAAAATATAAAGATTGATATTTAAATAGTTAAAACTATAGGGATTGAGTTGCAAGAGTTAAAGTTAAATGATTGAATCATAACTAAATCAAAACTATAAGGATCGAGTCATAACGAGTTAAAATTTAGAAATTGAGTTATAACTGAATCAAAATTTCAAGAACCAAATGATTATTTTTCTACTTTAAATATTCCATGGGGGAAAAATATAACTAGTCCTTATATTTTTGTTGTGCTTTTGTTTTAGTTCTTATATTTTTTTGGTTATTTCTACTTCCTTAAGTTTGATTTCTCTACAACATTAGTTTTTATAATTCTAAATATGTCCACAAGGGTTTGATGGTGGTTGACGTGCACAAAACTTCGTACTAAAATTCTGGTAAATTATGTAAAAAATAAGCAAAACATTTTTTTTTAAAAAGGGGGATGCATTCTTCTCTTTTGATACTCTTTAGAAAACAAGAGAAGAATGTGTCCTCCCTTTGTTTTTTTTTGTTTTATTTTTTACTTTTTTTTATCTAACTTATTATAATTTTAACATGTGAGCAAAATAATTAACAAAATTTATGTGCTACACGTGAATGAAGATAAGTTCTTATAAGTATATTTAAAATTGTAATGGGGTGATGGCGGTTTGAGCGTGATGTGGCAATATGGGTGTGGTTTATTGAATTAATTGTGGTTTGTGAAGCTGCGTTTGTGGTGAAAGGGACAAATGATTAAAGGCATTATTAGGGGTTGAACCGCAAATGAGGGAACATGCTGGGCCTCACAACTGAAAGGCCAGCATGAGTGCCACCTGTCACACCCGCTGTGGCCACCTTATGCATCCACCGACACGTGGCCTCCCCTCCTCTCCTTTCCTCACATTTGTGCTTAAAATCCCACTTGCACATTTCTGATGTCATGCCTCTCCAATTTTTTCCAGCCCTAACCAGTTAGGCTGTTAGCTTGCACACACAACATAAAGGGAAAATGACGAATAAGGATCCTTGAAATATACATGAACTGAAATTTTAAAATTTTTAAGAATTTACAACTTCAAAGCCTTTATTTTATATTAATTTCCTTACCAAATCTTCAATTGTCAATTCTCCCCAAGAATAAAATAGTCTCATTTTATATAAATTTTAACAGACTAAGGCCATTATACTTAAAGGGAGTCCATCACTGATCATTTTGGGATGAATAATTTGGATGAGTTAGATTTTTAAGTCCTAGGAAAAGTTTTACTCTTTAGCAAGTATCCATAGATGTCAAGGGAAAGCAGTTTTTAGTCTGCTAACATGGGGATTGCTGGACCGGGGTGAGATGAGACTATGAGAGTGACGTTTTCCGAAATTTCCATTGATTTTTCACGTTACAATTGAAAATGCACTTTCACTGCTATGAACGTGCGTCGCATCAAACCTTTGCTCCCTACCTACCCTGGTTACTCCTGAACCTAACTTTAACTTGGGTTAAGGGTTTAAGTGGTTAGGATCTTTTGCTCTGTGTTTGTCAAGCCAGCCCAATTTGGTTCTATCTTGGCGTTTGTCTGGGCCTCTCCCTGTTCCATTTCTTTTCATTCCTCTGTTTTCCTCTGCTCGATTACAGAGTCACACACGCGAAGAACAACAATCATGGGTCTCTCAAACATTCTTAATTTATCTGAAGGGATTCTTCCCGCTCTCGTGGTGAACACGGTGCTCTCAGTGGTTCTTCTGAAGAACATGCTGAGATCTGTTCTGGAAGCTGTTGGCGTGACATCCTCGTCGTCTTCGTCGTCGTCTTCTCAGAACATGGAGGAAGACTCCGATGAAGAAGGGGACAGAGAGAGTTGCGGAAGAAGGAGGGTGTCGATAACACAGTACAAGGAGGTTTGCGGAGGAACATCAACGAGTGACTCTGATTCGCGTGTGGGTGGATTGGGTACGGTGGAGTGTTGCGTATGTCTGAGTGGGTTCGAAGCGAATCAAGAGGTGAGTGAATTGCCCTGCAAGCATTTCTTCCACAGAGGTTGCTTGGACAAGTGGTTCGATAATAAACACTTATCTTGTCCTCTTTGTCGTTCCATAGATTAGCTTTAGGTTCTTACAAAACCAATCTCAAGATACTTATTTTGTTTTTTGGGTTTTCTCTTATGTTTAATTTGTAACCCTGATCAGTCTGGTAAACTCCTTCCCCTGTTTCTTTGTCCTTTTTCATGCATTCATTTTTGACAAAAATCATAGGATATGTGGAATTGCAAAAAGGCTGTTGAGGGATGGGATGGGAATATATACTTTTATTTGATTCCGATCAATGAATTTAATTTGAGCACAGTTTAGGTGTATGTATGGTTTTCATATATACTTTTATTTGATTCCGATCAATGAATTTAATTTGAGCAGAGTTTAGGTGTATGTAAGGTTTTCTGGCCGCCATTCTGGTGTTTTTTGTTTTTTGGATTTGGCGACGCCGACTGTGTGGCATGATAATTCGATGCAGAGAGATTTGCACCCAAATCTCCTATCTCCCATTATAATTAAATTAAATATCGCAGGATCTAATGATAACTGAGTATTTTAATAACAACTATTTTAATAAATCTTGTTTCTTTAATTATATTTGTATATAATACATATAAAAATAAAAAAATTCATAAATTCAATATCTTAAAATTTTAAATTAAAATATAGTGCCATGACTTTTTTATATTTCTTCTTGAAACTGGCCCAACAAATCTAATAGATACCAAGCAGGTCACTTGGCCCATGCTTTAACATTCTTCATTCCAATATTTCCGGATTGCTCTATTTTTTTATTTAAAAAAAAAAGTGAGTTGAGTGGCATCTAAATTTAAAAAATATTTATAAGAATACTTACAGGTTATGTCCACTAAAAGGATTTTCATATCAGGAGTGAAAGTTGATCACATGATTGAATTATTCATCAAATTCTATAGTTTTGCTTCGATTAATATGTTAAGGTAGTTGTTTTCAAAATCTAGAGTTCTGATATGTAAAAATTCTCAGTCAAGCAAGCTTCAGTGATCACTACCATAACGTTAGATATATTACCAAAAATAATATAATAGATCACAAACAACTTTCTATTTTGGCGTATAAATATACAACAGCAATAATCTAATAGTAGTTGTAGCAAAACAATCACTTATACTTGTGTTGAGAGAGACAATCTCCAATCTCTTACAAATATGACTGATATCAACACAGAGTCATATAGTACGGCCTTCTTGGATGTATTATTTCGATCAAATATTCAAATACAAAGCTAAAGTCCAAATATTACTCCCAATATCTATATCTCAAACCTACTCGTTGCATGAAAGTATTATGTTAAATAATATTATATATATTCTTGATTTACCATGCACCTCACATCGAGTCCTGTGTGACTATGTATGTATAGTCGTGGCTATAACTCAGACAGGGTTGAGAGACCTGAGCCTGGCTAATCGGATCCTGCTGTGTTCGTGCTTGATGAAGGCGTCAGCTTCTTCATCAACGCCTTTGGGAGTATAATTATCACTGCGATCGTTGTCGTAAACGACGACGTTTTCTTGTGGGATGACGGAGCTGCTGGTTCTGATCTCCTCTTCGTCAGCCTTAAATGTCACGTGGTGCTTGGGATGGTGCTGGCGATGGTAAGGCCCGCGACTCCCACCGCCGTCGTCGTGGTCGTTATCGGCGACGGTGGCGGAAGGTTTCCATCCGCTGTGGCGTCGTCCGTCGTAGTTTCTGGGGAAATACTGGAACTCCATTGAATTATATTTCTATGCGCTTGCCTTCTTCTGAACTTCGATCGATGGCCTAGGATATATATAGAGGAGATATTTTCAGAGTCAGATCGGCGATAACATTGAATCTGATGCCTCTCACCCACTAACAAGGATATTAAGCATTAACGGATGTAATTAACTTGACGTTGAGCTACAAGATTGGTGATGATGGAATTATATGAATGTGTTGTGATGTGGAAACGATTCGAAAGAACACAGCCATTAAATTGGGAATTTGAGGAGTTATTGCTGAGATAGTTACGTGTTTATTGAAGCTTCAAGATTGATAGATTCGCTCTGCTTTTATTGACTGATTGCTTAATGTGGTGGGAACAATTGTGAATTTTGGTAGTGGGGGATAAAACCACGTCGTTTCATGAGCATTATAAGTGAATTTGGGAACATTGGTAAAAAAACCCTCCACCAAAAATTTAATTGCCAAGAAGGACTTGGGATTATTTTGGAAAAAAGGTCCTTCACTGTCAATAATAGATTAAGGTTAAATGACATAAATGCCCTAAATAATTGGCAAAAAAAAAAAAAACAAAGATTGAGTAGGGTCCTTTGCTGTCAATGTGTTGCATGAGGTCATTGGCTGTCAATACGTCACAAGTCCTTCACTATCAATAATTAATGTTACACAAGGTTCTTCGTTGTCAATATGTGAAATAAGGTCCTTCAATGTCAATTTATTAAGCCATGAAGCATGAGGTCCCTCGGTGTCAATATGTCAGATGCAATGTTTCTTCCATGATATACGCAAATCATCTTCAATGAAGCATATGCAATCTTTTTTTCACGATATGCGATTAATCTTCAATGAAATACAATTTTCTTCCACATATTCACATAAGCAAAAGGTCTTTCATATATGTAGTAGGCTCTCTTCATGTACAGAAGTCTTCCATATATTCAAGTAATTATTTGTCATATGCAACAATCTTCCTTGAATGTTCATTTTATTATGGGTGCAAATGACATCAAGGATATAAAATTAGTCTTTCCTTATATGCAGCCATCTTTAATGGAATGCAATCATCTTTTTGTTGAATGAGAATGTTTCCATGCATATGCAAAAGTTCTTCCATATATGCAGTAGGCTCCCCTCATGTGTAGAAGTCTCCCACATATGCAAGTAATTAGTCATCATATGCAACAATGTTCCTTAAATGTTCCTTTTGTTATAAGTGCAAATGGTGTAACATCCTAGATTTGTATTTTGGGAATTTTTAGTATTTATAAGGGTATTTTGGTTAAATTAGATGAATTATTGTTTAACAGTGTTTTTGGGAGATTAATGTAACTAATAGATCATTGAAAAATCTTAGAAGAGGGCAAGATTGAAGTTCGAGCAGGCCGTGGCATGGAGAGAGATTCAAAATGTGTGTGAAAATCTCTGTGCCATGCTTCACAACGAACAAGCCAATGTGCCACGACGTATGTGTAGAAATCTACATTTATCAGTCGTGGATCAGAACAAAAAATTAGAAGAGGGAAAGATAAAATGTGAGGAGAAAATGGGAAACAACTGGTGGGTGCTAGGACACAACCTCTAGACCATTTTGGACGTATTTGGGGCAAGATTTATCCTTAGGTAAGCTTCCTCCACCTCTTCCTCTCCCTCTATGAGAATTTTTGATGTTTTTGATTATGGTTGAGGCTTTGATTTGATTATTCGCTGAATCCATTACCTTAGATAAGATTTTAGGGAGTTAAACCAAGCCTTTAAACCTAGATTTATGGATTATATAATGAATTAAAATTTTTGGGTAGGGTTTGGATGAACCCTAAGTAAAAATTGGGAGATTAAGAACAATGTGTGTGAACACTGTATTTTGTCCGGACCCCCTTTTTTTAAATTTAACAAAAATAAAAATAAATTCAACTAAGATATATAAAAATACAAAAAACAAAATTTAATTCTTTTTAGGATTATGTTTTAAAAAAAATAATCTAACAAAATTTTAAAAAAATCTTGTTTAAATTTAAGAAAAATCTTTCCCAAATTATTTTAACTATTTAAAACATTGGGAATTAACTTTTGAAAGTTAAGTCTTTTTAATTAACTTTAAAATTAGGTTAACAAAATAAAAAAATAATATAATAATAAAAAAATTAAATAAAAATAAAAGGGTAGGTGAAATGATATATCACCCACCCCAAAACATTACTTTCCATGGCAAACACGGAGTCAGACACAGCAGAGACAGTCGGAGCACACACACACGCAGCCACGGCAACACTCGAACCAGACATGACAAAACAAGAAAGAAAGGAGGAGAAGTACTCGATCAGACACAGAACAAGAAGGAAAGAAGCAGAGCAGCATCGTACGACAAGACTAGAGGAGACATGACTACACAGAGATGAAGAAAGAGAGACGGAGAACCAGAGAGAAGGAGGAAAACATAGAGAAAGAAAGCAGAAGGAGTACACACGAAACCAATTGCAAAAGTAGAGGAAAGACAGAAGAAACCAAAAATGTGGGAGCTTTCGGCACACATGCAGAAAGTGCAGTGAAAGAAAGGGAAAAGCATGAAGGGAGAAGAAGCAACCCATGATGACGCAGCGGAAGAAGAGGAAAAAGATGAAAGAACGGACGCACGCAAAGGGGACGGTGATCCGAAACTAAAGGGGAAATTGATAAATCGTCTTTCCTTCCCACTCTTTATAATGCCTGAAACTGAGAGTGAGAGGGATGGAAGAAGGAGAGTGCGTGTTTTTCTGAAAAAGATAGAGGGAGGAGGAGTTGTTCTTGCTAGGGAGAGAAATTGAGAGGACGAGGGAAAGAGTTGTTCTGGTTGGAGAAAAAGAGAGAAACCAAGAGGTGACGAGAGTGAAAAAACGAAGAGGAGGAACTGTTACTGCTGAAGGAAAAAAAGAAACCGAGAGGTGACGAGAATGAATGTTTTTTGAGAATAAAAGAGACTGAGAGAGGAGGAAGAAGGGGCCGAAAGAGACGAGTACAATCAGAAGGAAGGATTTTTGAAAAGAAAAGGCTAAGAGTAAGGAAGAAAGAACTGAGAGAGGACCTGTGTTTTTTTCAGAGAGTGAAAGAGGAAGAGACATTACATAGGTTTCATGATTATTTGCCTTTTGATCTAGAATATTTCATAGTTGATTTCATTTCAGCTTGCATTTTGTAAATATCTGGGATCAGTTCCTGCTCATGAACACTGCAAAGGTTTTATATACTGTTCTTATATGGTTTGGCTATAGAAATCATTCTTCTTCGGTCATGAGTTTGGATGGATTAAATGGTTGAAAACATTTGATGTTCATGTCTTATGTGAAACCTTTCAATTTAATTACCATATATGTGGCTCAAGATAGCAAAAATGATTTGAGTTTACTCTCTTTACAAATCAAGTATGTGCTTGTTTTACAACCATTCAATAATTAGTCTTTATGATTAATCTTTTTTTTAAAAAAATTTCACTCTATGTTGTTTGACAATGTTAGCTTTAATTAATGTTGCTTATGTTGTTGGTAACTTATAGGGAAGGCATTTTTTTTTTAAATTACACTTGGTTGTTTCTTAAGCCATAATCATAAAAATTGCTAGAATGTGGCCATGTATGTTTAATAGACATAGCTTCAATTGTCTCAAATAAAATTGATTGTGTGAAAATCACATGGGTCTTCATAACCAATTAAAATAATTTCATACCATATATATCAATAAGATTTCGCAAGCATGAAGATCAATCTTGTGCATATTTATATGGGTTCTAATGGCCCATCATTAAATTTAGTTCTCTTTTTATAACCTAGATTAATAATTTATTTAAGTCTTTTGTGAGATTTTAAGAATCCTTATAGAGATTTAAATTAATCATATCATCGTGGGGATAACAAGTCCTCGTAGATGCAGTGATTCTCAATTTCTATAATAAATGAAGATTTTTGTAAATAATCATATAATACACAATTTAAAAGATTAATTAACCAAATTAATGCATTTAAATTGTAACCACATTTACCAATTATATGTTTTAGTCATGTGAGGTTTTTGAATCTCCATAAACTTTTAAGATAATCGTATTATCGTATGATTCAATAAAATTCTGCAGATATAACGATTAAGTTTTTTTAAAATATATATATATATATATATTATATTAAGGATGTATTTAAATAAATTTAATTCCTTTATCGCGAGAGATTTTAGAATCTCCATAGATATTTAGGATAATCATATTACCGTATATGCCAATAAGGCTTTGTAGGTATAATGATTAAGAGTCTTTAAAACATATTTATATACACACACTTAAAATATATTATTAACACTTAAAAATATACTTAATAATATAAATAAATAAATTAAATTTCTAAATTCTTTTATCGTGTGAGATTTCAGAATCTCTGTAGATAGTTAAAATAATTGCATTACCGTATAAACCAATAAGGCTCTACAGGTATAGCAATTAAAATTTTCAATCATAAAACATAAAAGAATAATAATTTTAAACCCTTTCCTTTCTTTATTAAAAATTCAAAAATGTAGAAAATAATTAAAATTATATTACCTTTTGCAATTTAAAACACACATATCAAAATTTTAGAAATTATTTTATTTGCAAAATGGTGAATTATTTCTAATTAATTTCTCTTCAAAAAAATATTTTCACCAACAAACTTTTAAGCCCGAACTACGTGAATTTTGATCCCCATCACAGGGTACGTAGGCCTCAGAGTCAAATTTTGAGTCAAATCCGTCCTCCCTCATAAATAAATAAATATTTCTCACTTAATTCTTATCATTTTTATCAAACACATGAATATAAAAGGGATAATTAAAATAATTATAAAACCATATTAATAGAGCACAACAAACTTCAGGTAACCGTTCTGATGAACGGGTGTTGTGGGGTGCCTAACACCTTCTCTATACTCAACCAACTCCTGAACCTATTCTTTGATTTCGCAAACCATCCTTATCCTCCCTTTAATCAGCTTTCCAAGATTTACCTCAAAATCTTGGTGGCGACTCCTTGTTCCGTTCGGTTCCAGCCGCAAAGGTCAGGACCTCCACTCGCGCGTCGTCCATGTTGCATTTTTTCGGGTGCGACAATATGGATAATGAAATAGTGTTATTTAAGTGTTTGTGTTC